TTAATTAAATATAATTTATTTATTTATTTTTTCTTAATTAATAAATATAATTTATTTATATTAATTAAATTTATTTGTATAATTAGATGTATTATTAAGATTTAAAAATAACTATTTGATTGACCAATACCTTCTTACCATCTTTTTTTCTCTTTCTTTCTCTTCTATATATAACTTTAGAGACTTTTTTATTAATTTAACATTTATTATAATTTTGCACAATATAATTACATAGTTTGCGGCTAAATTTAATTCTATAATTAATATATTATTAAGCTTTAAAAATAACTATCTAATTGACTAATACTTTCTTACAATCTCTCTCTCTTGCTTTCTCTTCTGTATACAACTTTTAGGAGTTTCATTAATTTAATATTCATTATGATTTTGTGCAATATAATTATGTAGTCTGCTGCTAAATTTAATTATATAATTAGTGTATTATTAAGCTTTAAAAATAACTATTTAATTAACCAATACTTTCTTGCTATCTCACTCTCTTTCTTTCTCTTCTATATACAACTTTTGAGGTTTTTATTAATTTAATATTCATTATAATTTTGTGCAATATGATTACATAGTCTGCTGCTAAATTTAACTATATAATTAGCATATTATTAAGCTTTAAAAATAAGTATTTAATTCACCAATACTTTCTTGCTATCTCTCTTTCTTTTTTTCTTTTCTGTGTATAACTTTTAAGGTTTTTATTAATTTAATATTCATTATAATTTTGCACAATACAATTACATAGCTTGCTGCTAAATTTAATTATATAATTAGTTTATTATTAAGCTTTAAAAATAACTATTAAATTGACCAATACCTCCTTGCTATTTCTCTCTTTTTTTCTCTTCTGTGTATGACTTAGAGGTTTTTTTCATTAATTTAATTTTCATTATATTTTTGCACAATATGATTGCATAGTTGCTGAATTTAATTACTTATTAGTATATTATTAAGCTTTAAAATTAACTATTTAATTAATCAATATTTTCTTGATATCTTTCTCTCTCTACAACTTTTTGGTTTTTTTTTAATTAAGTATAATTTATTTATTTATTTTTTCTTAATTAATAAATATAATTTATTAATATTAATTAAATTTATTTGCATAATTAGATATATTATTAAGATTTAAAAATAACTATTTAATTGACCAATACCTTCTTACCGTCTATCTCTTTCTTTCTTTCTCTTTATTGTACAACTTTAGAGATTTTTTAAATTAATTTAATATTTATTATAATTTTGCATAATACAATTACATACTTTGCTGCTAAATTTAATTATATAATTAGTATATTATTAAGCTTTAAAAATAACTATTTAATTAACTAATGCTTTCTTGCTATCTCTCTTTTTTCTTTTTCTTTTATATGACTTTTGGGGGGTTTTTTTTTAATTAAGTATAATTTATTTATTTATTTTTTTCTTAATTAATAAATATAATTTATTAAATTTTTTTATTAATTTAATAATATTATTTAAATTTAATTCATATTTAAAAATATTATCAAGCTTTAAAAATAGCTATTTAAATAAACTATATTTTTTTACCATCTCTTTCTTCTATATACAAAACTCTTCAAGACTAATTTCATTAATTTCACATATTAAATTGCACTTTTATTTATTTATTCAAATTAAAAATCTCAAAAAACTATTCTAATATGCCCATCTCACATATAGGAGTCGTAATCACCCACTCTTTTTGTTATATCCTTAAAGATGTTTTTAATTTGATTGTAATATGTTATAATATTTTTATACTGCGAAACTCTATCTGTTAATTGGATACTCTATCTATTGTTTGAATACTTTATCTATCAATTAAATACTTTATTTGTCAATTGCTGCTTTAGCTTTAAATTTACATAAGCGCAATTCTTATTTTTGAAATCAATTGACTCAGTTATGTTTTTCTATAATAATACCAAAATAGTATATTCGATTTAATTTTAGTGTAAAGAAAAAATAAGTCAATTTTTGCTAGATTTAAAAAAAATAAAAATAAAAATTCTATATAAATATCTGTTATACATACATACATATATATGATATTTTACTTATATGCATGAACTAGATTTAATTAGGTTTTTTTTCAAATTAACTGTATATTATATTTAATACGTATCAATATTACTGAATTATTAATTATTTTTAATTGTCATCATCAAGCAATTTTTTTAATGTACACATGATATCATAATAATATAAATATAATCATATCGTTAATTAGTAAATGATTTTACATAAAAAAATTTGGTACTGATTTTAACAATATTACTCTTTCTTTTAAAGTTCCTTTAATTATTTTATATTTACGTTGAAGTATTGTATATATTTTTTATATATTTAGCAAATTACGAATTTGTAGTTTACCAAATCTAATATTTCTTTCTTTCTTTTTTTATTTCTCTCTTATTATTTTTCTTCTTGTTTTTCTTTCTTGTTTTTCTTTCTTTGCTTTACATTTTGGTTCTATATTTTATTGATTTGCTATATATATACTATACAATATATTTGCAGCAAAAACAAGTTTCTGGTATTGTTATATCAGCGAGTCGATCATTCTACAAACTGAAATGTTATGAAAAAGGCAGTTATATTTGATAAGAGTGTTTATAGTTTTCTTTTACTTGTATCAGAAACTTGGAACCTTAAAGATCTATTCTTCTCACAATATACGAATATATATCAAGCTGTAGTAATATATATATAAATACTTTTATTCTCTTATCGTTATTACTTCTTAATTTCTTTCTTTTTAATTTAATTTTTTTAATAGCAAAAATACAAGTTCATAAACAGCTAAATTAATTATATTAATTATTTAATATAACTCTTATCTTACTTTTACCAACTAAAATTCAATATATGAATATACGTCAAGCCGCAGTAATTTATATATAAATACTTTTATTTCTTATTACTATTACTTCTTAATTTCATTCTTTTTAATTTAATTTTTTTTTATTGCAAAAATATGAGTTTTTAAACAGCTAAATTAATTATATTAATTATTTAATATAACTCTCATCTTACTTTTACCAACTGAAATTCAATATACGAATATATATCAAGCCACATTAATTTATATATAAATACTTTTATTCTCTCATCATTATTACTTCTTAATTTCTTTCTTTTTAATTTAGTTTTTTTAATAGCAAAAATATGAGTTTGTAAACAGCTAAATTAATTATATTAATTATTTAATATAATTCTCATCTTACTTTTACTAACTAAAATTCAATATATGAATATACGTCAAGCTACAGTAATTTATATATAAATACTTTTATTCTCTTATCGTTATTTTTTTATTTTTTATTTTTTTTTTGACGATCATGCCACATGTCCTGCTTTTATTGATCATATATGACAATCCAAAGGATTTTTATATTACATCTTATTACTGGAATATGACTCACATGGTTACCTATATAGAGTATCTAAGTACTCATACACCTGTGTGCGACCTGCCAAAGATAATTTTAATCTCCCCGTTTGGTCAACCTATATCAAGCCGACCTGCCCCGGTTTACCGACCTGGTTCATCAGCCTATCATGATCGCCTTCTTTCCCAACCTTCTTTTCCTAGCCTCCTAAATAGAAGAATTCTACCGCAAGAACAATGGAAAATTTAAGAAAATAAAAGGAAATACAAAAATGGAGGGAAACCTAAACTAAACGAAACCAAAAACATACACAAAAGAAAAAATAGAGAAAAGGAGAAAAAGGCCACAAAAAGACGACCATGATAACACTATTTTTGTCTGTGCTAGGCTACAGAAATTATATAATATTGCATAGAAAAGAATCTAATCTAACACTATATATATTAAAAGAAATAGAAAAAAAAAGAAAAGAAAAAACATCTAACTATAAAAAATTTCTACACGTGATCTCTCCGATTCTATACATGATCTCTCCGATTCCCTATACTATAAACAGTACTGCCATCATTGTTTATTTGGGAAAGCAGAATCCAAATAAGCTCATAGGAGGTTTCATTTCAGTAGACGTGTCCTAATTTAGAAGAAGTAAACACTGCCGATCTTTTGAAGATGGTATGCCAGTTTTCCTACTTTTTGTTCGAAATTTTTAAAAAAATTCCAAAGTAGCAAGAATATGGTAGGAGGTTTTCGGTTGTGAGTACTTACAAAATTTCTAGAGAGTGTGTTGAAATCCAGAACTTTTGTTGTTTTCCCTGTGTTCTTCTTTGAAGTAACAGCCTTAGAGCTTTGTTGACGAAGTTGGGTTTTCCCACACTTTACCAAGATTTTTCATACAAGGGCACCAACTGCCAGTTATCTTGTATAATAATGCTCTTGGTTTGCATGCCGAACGTCTTTTTAAGAGGAGTCCCTTAGAAAAGCAGTTGACCTCTAGACAAACCGCACTGTAAGGCCACGTCTCTCCAATAAAAGTTGTGTTTTTTTGTTAGTTGAAATTTTGGTAAAAATGATCGTTGGGGAGAGTTACTGTTAATAATTTGTTCTCTTATTGTTATTACTTCTTAATTTCTTTCTTTTTAATTTAATTTTTTTTATTATTATTAAATATTTTATATATTTTATAGTAAGCTATTTGTAAGGCTAAAATAAAGAAAGTACATGAAAAGGGCATCTCTGCTCCTCCAAAACACAAAAACCTAACACCTCCAAAATAAAAAAACATCATTTTCAACAAGTTCTCGAACAGTATTATCTTCTAATAATGCAACTAATAATAATAACCTTCAACAATCTTTATCAGATAAAAATTCATCTTCTACTGAATCATCTGATAAAAGTAGTTCACGAGAATTTCGGTCTACACTACCTATTAATGAAATTGTAGATGATGATAATAATGATACTCAACAATCTTTTAATATAATTGAAGTTGATGATAATAATGATACTCAACAATCTTCTGGTAAGACTATAATCGAAGATAATAATAATACTCATTAATTTTTGGGTGAGACGATAATCGAAGATAATAATGATATTCATCAATCTTCAGGTAAAAATTATTTAATTTATTTATTATTTTTTAAAAAATATATATAAAATTTTGAAATATGATTTTTTTTTAATAAAGGTTCTCAAGCAGTATCTGAAATTGCATTTAATAATCCTATTTTGAAATCTAAAAAAATAATCAGTATATATATTTATTTAAATATATATGATTTATAATAATTATATAATATTATACATATGTATAATAAATTTAATTTTTTGTATAGAAAAAAAAAGAAAAAAAGTCCAACTCAATTAACTCACTCAACTCGTTCAATAACAAAAAAATTCAACTAAAGAAGCTGTAGTAGTATCTAAAAAACAAACAAACAATAAATCAAAAAAAATAAAAAATTAAATATGTAAATATATAATATTTTTTAATTATTAAATTAATTATTATTAGATACTGATTTTATAATTAAAAATAGGATACATATGTATTATATACATATATAATACATATATAGTATACTTGGCATAATTAGCATATATATTTCAATTTATTTATTTATAAAAATAGTTTGGTTGCTAATGATTTATTTAGAAAATAATCATGTATGATCATGAAGTAATCTGATTATTAATGAATATATTCATGTTTTATTCAGAAAATAATTATGATAAAATTTTTTTTTTTTTTTTTTTAATATATTCGGCAGTCTTGCCTTCACTTTATTAGGCTTTGTAATAATTATTTAAACTATTAAAAATTTCTGAAGAGTTATTCTCTCCAGTACCTAAATTACAAATGAAAACTTATCCGGTTGCTCATTGAGTACCTATGTGCAACCTGCTATAGTAAGAATTGCCGCTGTATTACCTTATTCTGCAATTGGCTTCGATAATACGTCAACAGCCAGTTCTTACTGCCTGTCAAGACTATATATCCATTTTCCACCAATCTGAACATTGTCCTTCTACAATCCACCTTGCCACTTCTTTCTTGGTTATTTCTAGAACTGACAACCACCTTTTATTCTCATTTT